TCTATATTTATAGCACTAGTAAGAATACGTTTTTTCCCGCCAATTCAAGGAAAGGTGAAATCTGGACTAGCAGAGCCATCTATGGACAGATATATTTCACAAAAATATAAAAAATGAATACTGCATTTCCCCCATTTTTTGTTCATTTTCCCCGGCGGCAATGGGTTAATGATCCTAATATCAAAAAGAACATTAACACTGTCGATATCAATTAGAAAGAAAAACGCATTTTCCCGCAAAGACAAGTAATACAAATACAGGGGCCAGTATATAAATCTGTAGTGATTGGGTTAGTCATTTTCATCTTTATTCATGTTTTTATTTATTTTTCTATTTAATCTATTATTATATATATATAATTTTTACCTATGATTTCCTGTATTTTCGTGGAAGGTTTCATATTTTTTGTGGACACATCTACCCCAATTTTTTCTCCTAAATTTACGATACTTGTTTCTTGGAACTTTCAACAGAGAAGGAAAAAGAATAATCTTACGAGGTTTGAGGATAATCATTGACATAAATTTCACTTTGCAGGACCTTCGAGGAAACTGAAATTCTTAAGTACCGAAGATATTAGTGAAGAATGGGGCGTCGACACGTTCTTCCAGACTTACCTCGTCATGGAACCGAAAAAATAATTGAGTCAACTTCAGAAAATGTCAAATAGACGTATTTATGGGGAAAAAACTACATGGAAATTATGTCGCAAATCTCACTTCATTACCTTTAAAGTTTATATTCTTGCTGAGTAGCTTCCATGCTACAAATATATCCCCAGAAGACATTTACAGTGAACAAAAATGAAACAAGAAGTAGATAAATATAAAAGTGTTCTTTTGGAATTCCTTTGATGTATTTATGTATTAAATGATTTAGAGAAATAAACATGAGCTACACAATGAACACAAGTATTATTTACCTTTTCGAATGGGACTGAAATAACAGAAAATGCAACTGTGTCCTCATTTTCTTCTATAAATAACAAGAACAAAAGATACATTAGTTATAGTTGCATTATTTTATCATAGAAAACGAAACAAAATCAGTTTCATAGAACATGATTTATTTTCAAGGGGAAACTAATGAATCTAATGACAATTTTCAACAAGAATATGGGAAAACTCAACTAAAACTAGAAGTGAAAGACAGAGACAGAGAGAATGTTTAATAACCTTTATCAGTATCTCCATCATCATCATCATTATCATCATTATCATGATCATTATTATCAGTCATTATTATTCTTGTTATCACTATTATCATTATTATTGTTATTATTTTTCTTGTTGTTGTTGTTGTTGTTATTATCATTATTATTATTGTTATTATCATTGTTATTATTATTGTTGTTGTTGTTAATACTATTATTATTATCATCATCATCATTGTTATTACTATTATCATTATCATTACTTTTTGTTATAATAATAATAATAATGATAATGATAGTTATTATTATTATTATTATCATTATTATTATTATTATCATTACTGTTATCATTATTGTCATTTTCATTACCATTATTATCAGTATTGTTAATATTCTTATCATTATCATTATTATCATTGTTATCAGCATTATCATTATCATTATTATTATTACTGTTATCATTATTATTATTATTATTATTATTATCATTATCATTATGAATACTATTATTATTATTACTATTATTATTATTATTGTTACTATCATCATCATTGTTATTATTATTATCATTATTTTACCATTATTTTCATCATTGTTCATTATTATTATCATTATGATTATCATTATTATTAGTAGTACTATTATTATTATTATCATTATTATTATCCTTATCATTATCATCATCAACATTATCAGTGTTAGTATTGCTATTATTATCATTATTATTAGTATTATTATTGTCATTATCATTATTATCATATTTTTTATCATTATTACTATTACTTCTACTACTGCTACTACTACTATTTAGCATCAAACAAACGCAACTGTTCTGAGAAGGCCTTAGGACACGCATACCCCCTCGTAGATAACTAATTAACAGGGCAAAGAGAGAACAGGAAAATGGTCACTAGACATAAAACAGAATCCGAAAATAAAGAAAAAACAAACAAACTTATAGACACTGCCGAATGAAGTGCAGACCAAAGGAAGTGTAGAGACAAAGAAATCACACCACACACACACACACCACACACACACACACACACAACACACACACACACACAACACACACACACACAACACACACACACACACACCACACACACACACACAACACACACACACACAACACACACACACACAACACACACACACACAACACACACACACACACAACACACACACACACACACACCACACACACACACACAACACACACACACACACCACACACACACACACACAACACACACACACACAACACACACACACACACAACACACACACACACACACCACACACACACACACACACACCACACACACACACACCACACACACACACACCACACACACACACACACCACACACACACACACCACACACACACACACCACACACACACACACCACACACACACACACAACACACACACACACACACAACACACACACACACAACACACACACACACACACCACACACACACACACACAACACACACACACACACACACCACACACACACACACCACACACACACACACCACACACACACACACCACACACACACACACCACACACACACACACACAACACACACACACACACACACAA